ATACCGAATATTTAATCACTATTCGGCCGAATACCGAATACCTAAAAACAGGAGTAATAAATAACAAAAACACAGTAAATTAATCATTTTGGTATTCAGATTTAATGTTATCGAGTTAGCGTTGTTTGTTTATATTTATTTATAACTTGTAACATGCACGAAATAAAAAAGAAAATAATATTAGTCACATGTATTCACAATATATAATTACAAAGATCAGCACACGTACACACCTATTCGTTCGAGAATCGTCGCACATCCGAGGGTCTGACCCCGCCTATCCTCTTTTTAAGCGCTCGTCTTTGCTCTTCCCTTTCTCTTTCCTCTATCGCTCTAATCCACGTATGCCTGTGCATACATCATAATACGGGCTGTGCATACTTTCGATTCGTCACTTTTCCGTCGTAGATTTCCCATTTTACAATTACGTGACCCATAGCCTGGTGATAACAGAGAAAAAAAAAACAGATATGACGTCGGTATAAGACACTTACGATTTCACAGATTCGAGACAGCTCGGTAGCCCGAACGGCCCCAGGCTTTCGCCCGTGCACGCTAAGTGACTTTTATTACAAGTATTTAGCTTTCCGAAGTCTATGACAACAATTGTTTGGCATTGACGGCCGCGAACTTCGCGCCAATAAGCTGCCTCGACTTGTTCGATTATGTTATCGACTCAATTTCATATTTATTTTCACATTTTCACTTCGCGGTCCTTCTCTCTTCTTTTTCCGTTATTATCAAGTGTAGGTCATTAGATATCATTATTTATCACATATTTCCATGTCACTTGTCTGTCCGCTACAACTGCCAAGAATTAACGCGATTGGCGAAGCTTAGTGACAGCGGGCCAATGGAGAGCGGGATCCTTGCCATAATGCGGTTTGCGGGCCAATTTTCGTACGTGCGTTAATCGAGTCGAATAGTTTGGCCGAATATTCGGTATTCGGCCTGAAGCCAAATATACTATTCGTTACAACACTAATTGTAATCTTTCTTAAATTTTTACTTCCTTGTTACATTCCCTGCCGTTTTAACGTGACACGGGTTACATCGGCGGAGTAGCGTGGGTGTCAGCCGCCCGGGGCGGAGGAAATTCTCGCCGCCCCGTTATCTAGGTATTTGAATTTAAAAGACTAAAATTCAGTTTCGTCACAAAATAAGTAACGAAAAATTCCGTGCTAGTGTAGCCACCGGTTTGAAATATCTTCATTGGATATTGGAGGTGTAAGTTGTATATGAATACGAATGAATCGTACGAGCAAATAGAAAAAAAAAGGTCGACAGGTTGCGCAGGATATCCCCGGGTGAAATTAATAGTTCACCCGGACTGTCCGGATGGTAGCACTATCGTAGGTGCGACGAAAATATAGAATAGAGTGGTTCAAATTTTTACGAGATATTATTATTATTTATTGTGAAATTTTGCCACTTCCTAAAAAGTGCCGCCCGGGGCGGGCCGCCCCACTACGCTACTCCACTGGGTTACATTCCCGGCTCTTGTAATGTAGTTTTGTCGTCCTGTCACTTTCAGAATCGTGATGCTTTTACACATCTGAATCAACAAAACCTGATATTTGGAATGTGTATGTATAGCCTATATATACTAGCAGATAAGTCCGGCGTTGCTCGGGCAAAAAGTAACCATAGCGAAAATTAGCACTTCCATTGTCGAAACCTTAATCCTATCCCTCTCCCCGCGGGGGGAATTTCGAAAAATACTCTCTTCGTGTGCGTTTTCGTGACGTACCCTAACTGTGTACCAAATTTCGCCTTTCAACTCCTAACCGTTTGGGCTCTGCGCTTATTATTACGAACCCATCTCGATCAACGAAGAGTGGACGAATCCAACGTTTAACTAGACAATTTATTTACGGTTTAATATTTTAAGACAATGGCGACAATATCTGTGAAAATGTAGAAAGTGTGTAAACTATATAAGTATTTGGTTTTCCACATTACAACTTAGATTTTCCTCCCGGGCAACGCCAGTGTAACAAGCTGCTATATAATAAATATAAACTTTCTGCTCTATTGATACTAAAAGGAGCCGGTGATCATCGGGGTTTGTATAAACTCTTTAGCATTTCTGAATAATTCTGGACAGTGGATTAAATTATCATCAACCCGTTTCGATTATACATATAGACAGATTGTACAATGACAAAACGATTAAGTTTGAGGGTAGGGATGAGATTCGTAAAATTATAAAGATTAATAACTAGTAAAACCTTCATTAAGTCCGTCCTCTCTCGAAATATGACGCACGTACACTGAGAAGAAATTTTTGTAAATTCCCTCCCGCGGAGAAGAGGGAGAGGGTTACGGCTTAACCGAAGAACTCGACTTTTATTATATTATTTTAGATACGGACTTTTCGTACGTGACTGCGTTTAATAGAGTATGCCGTGAGAATGTACGTTAAGCCGTCCGGACTCGAGATAACTCGGGCTAATTTAAATAATCGTACGTAACTTTTCCTTGTTCGATTACCCCGTAGAATTCGGCTTTTACTGTAATATTTTACGTCATTTTTTGTACTTTTGCAGAAAATCGCAAATATTTTTAGACCCTTCTAAAAATTCTCAACCATATTTAGTGTTCGTGGTATTTAAAATTGAGACGGAGAGTGCACGCGCGAGAAGTTGGCTGTATTCCAAGTCTTTGTCTTAATGTTCGATTTTATGTTCGAATTTATATTTATAAATGATTCTGGAAGATCCGACTTATTTTTGGAATTAAGTAATCCCGAAGACCTCGGAAACGTTTGCTATTCGTCACCTAGGGGTACTACGCACCAGTTACAGGTTGCAGCGAGTCTTAATTACCGTTATTTCGGTATGGTAAGCGGGTATCTAAACATTCTGTACTTGCTCTCGGAAGAGAGGGGACCTACTTGTTGCACCCGTTGAAAACAAGTAAGATCGGCTATAATCTAATAATACTAATCTTTGCTATCGTTACTTTTTGCCCGAGCAACGTCGGGCTCATTTACTGGTAAATATATAACTCGAACGCCAACTGTATAGTGTATTCGCTCGGACACGAGGCAAATCTCATCATTCATTTTTATTTAGTTGAATGATGAGATTTGCCTTGGTGTCCGAGTGAATACACTATACAGTTGGCGTTCGAGTTGCGCAACAATTACGCAACAATTACAAGTACACGGTTTCGTAAGTACTAATATAAAACTTTTTATGATAAAATGATGGCGCCGCAAACAATTTATTTATGAATAGTATGATTAATAATATAAAAGTTATCGTTATATATTGTGTGTGATATCGCCAGTTCTAATTTTTAAATTTGTGTATTTAATTGGATACTTTTTCTGTGTCTTTAAAAGACGTTTTAATTCTTATGGCCGAGTAGCCTACAAAGGAAGGTCGGTGGTCAAAAGTTTGAATTCCGGAACACTGAAAGTAGGCTAAATAAACGGTGGCTCCTTTTTTGGGCAGACTTTGTCTTCAAATCGAGGTTATTTTTTTAGTAAAATCTTTTAACGGCCGGGAAATTTACGCTACTCGTTGCAGGATATTTTTTACTTTTTTGGCTTTGGGAGATTTCAAAACGGAAAGATTTGCAAAAATCTCGGAGAGTCAAATCTGACACAATTCCGATACTTTCTCTCGTTACGTATACATCAGTGGTTTTCAACCGGGGTACATGTACCCCTAGGAGTACGAGCGTAAATCGAAAGGGTATATCTAACTTTCATTATAAAATGGCGTATGTTTATCAATTTGCTGTAAATTATTAACGCAAGAAACGACAAAAACTTGCTTTAAAATATCCCCAGTGCAAACACCGATTTACCTTTTAATAGTCTAAACAACTCGTTTATCCACGCCATTAGTGCCGAGTGAACCTGTAGTCTAGTAAAATTACGGTTTAAGCGAGTATTAATTTTAGAATAGAAAAAAAAATGTTTGTATTCTATAATTATTGGTCGATAAGATTGGGACTTTTGGTGTTTTTACTGGACTACTGGTATTAGGAGTAACGAGGCCCTGATCGTACCCCCACCGTGCAATGCGTGTCACTGCACGCGCGCATTACTCGATATTTAGCAAATTTAAACGTTACATTTGTTACAAAAATTGAAGGATTCATGTAGTGTTCTGCGCATTATAAATTCGCAGCCATTACTTTCAATGTCAGTACACAATTATAATCTGTATTTAACAACGTGGAAAGCAAATTTTGAAAAAATTGCCGAAGATTTATGGCAACAAATATCACATTAAATTTTGTTAGAAATTATTGTAGAATAATTTAANATGACATCTGCACAACCACCACCAACACAACCAGTGGTACCACCTCGTCGAAGCAGTCCAAATTTTTCTCATTTACGTAGTCAGTCATTAGGCTCGGCAGAAGCTTTTGTATTTCAAAATTCAGGTAATAAATCGGTCACATATGATCGATCACAACATATTAAATCAGCACAACCAGAAATTCAGAATCATTCCCAAACAAAAAGTACATGGGCTAATGGGAACATTTCTTCATCACCACAAGGGAACCAAATATCTCATTAAATTTTGTTAGAAATTATTCTAGAATAATTTAAATTTTCTTTATTGTTAATTATAATTATTTATTTTTAGGAAATGTAATTTATGCGTGTATTGAAATGACTTGTGTGATTTTATATAATATACTTATCAAATAATAATAAATAAATGTATGTACTTGATTAAATTTATTATTACTTACGTAAAATAAGTAATTCACTTTTAGTTATAGTTAGTTAGTTTTTTTATGGCGTTCAGTTATAAGGGCTGTATATATCTAACGTAGTAATTATAAAATTTACATACATAAATACAAGGGGTACTCGAGAAACAACAAATGGGCTAATGGGGTACATGGACAAAAAGGGCTGAGAACCACTGGTATACATAAAACCGACCTCGAGTTATGTTTTGCGATGGTCTCTTATACGCCTTGGAATGAAGAAAATTACTATTAAGCTTTTTACAACATTTCAGTTATCGTCCGTGGAACGTGTCGCAGATTATAGTTCATTACCGTCAGAAGCTGCCGATGAATCACCAGATATTACGCGTCCTCCGGAGAACTGGCCGTTAAATGGATCCATTATTTTTGATAACGTTTCCTTAAAATATTCATCGGAGAAGCAACCCGTAGTAAAAAATCTTAACTTTCGTATTAAAAATGGAGAAAAGGTAAGAAAATGTTTCTAACATAAACGACCGGCATCTCGGAACTTATGTAACTTAACTAAGTGCTATAAGGGCTCGGCCTCTATAAGGCCTGTATAACTATAAGAATTATATAACTTAAATAACTATTAATAAGTGGATAAAATATTGTTAAATGAAAATTTATGTATTGTTATAAATATAAATAATGTTAACAAAGGATAAATGAATTTAAGATTGGAATCGTTGGAAGAACGGGAGCTGGAAAAAGTTCCATAATTGCCGCATTGTTCCGCATGTTGGAGCCGACGGGAATTATTACCATCGATGGTATAGCCACGAAAGATATCGGACTTTATAATTTACGGAGAAAACTTTCCATTATTCCTCAGGTAATATTTTTATATAAAATATTTTAAAATTGAGATAAATTATAGTAATTTCTACGAATTTAAACAATTATTTAAGCCGAATTGTAGACGTTACGTCTTTTATAGTACTCGCTACTTAATTATGAAACAGAAAGAATGAAACTAAATTAAATGTAGGCCTACAATCTTTTAATTTTATTACGTGGACACAACTTTCTCTAACATTGTCAATTATAGGAACAAAACATTAAACAATAATGCTTTTACACCAAGTTCTGAATATAAACGGTACAAGAGAAACGTAGCTGGAGCCACTAAATAACAAATCGTTTAAATTAAAATCACTATTGTTTTCAACACGCTTCTCCCATCGACTTCGGATGACGGATGCCGCGTTCGAAAAATTCCTTGGCTGAGATCCAATCAAATTACCAACCAGCCTCTCGTATAGCGGCGCCTCCAGCCAAAGTCCCGTCGGAGGGTGGCGCATTATTTAATAATTGTATAATGACGAGTAACGGGTGTCGGAGCCGCCAATACCAGCTCGAAATGCGTCGATCCGGCAGTATTAGAAGCGTGAATCGTCTCCCTGCCCGACAAGTTCGTGCCAAGAATGTCCGACTGTCATTTTTCGTATTAATTATCAGCAATCGGATCTTGTTAAATTCCTAAAGTTTGAGCATAGTTAATGCCGAGCAGTACGCAATTACTCTCTCCGGTCTCTAAAACAAACCGTAGGGTCGTTTGACACGGGAAGTAATTCTTTGCCCGATAATACGCATCACCACTCTACGGACCCGATTTCGCGCCCTGACTACTTCCGTATTTTTCAGAACTTCGCAGAGTTCGAAAGTCAATGGGTTTCTATCGTTCGTTGCGGGCGGAAGACTGTTCCGAATTTTACCAACACGGCAACATTCGTCTTCTGGTCTGGCAATGGCAGAAAAGTGTTTCCAGCAATGGTTATTATTAATTAATGTAAATTAATTTCTGTCTTTTCTCGAACTCCGTTACGTTTTATTTTACTGCCCTGGTATAATAAATCAAAAGGCGCGTAAAAGTAGATTATAAGTCTACAGATTAATGCATTGTACTCAGTATGTTGAAGAAAAAACGGACCACCTTTACTATCTCGGGCGCTCGGCGTAGACTTGCTCGTGGCCTCCGTATTAAAGATGTTCAGACGACTCATCTTCTACACCAGGCCTGACCCACCCGCGGTCCGTCACGTTAAATTGTGTGGCCCGCTAAGCGATATTATATATATATATATATATATTAAAACTTTTTTTTCCGTTACGTGTATACCGAAACAATTAAATAAATGAAAATTTGCGTGTCATTGTTATAATGCGCGAGTGCGAGTACGAACTCTCGGTATAACAATAAAATCTTATTCATTTTGTATTTGTTTTACTTTTTTAAAAGCGCGTTTGCCTAAATTGTGGCCCACCGTAACGTTACGCGTGATCAAAGTGACCCGCGAAACAATTTGGTTTGGCCAGTCCTGCTCTACACCATTGAGAACCGTCATACAATAATCTTCGCTTCGAGAATCGTTGTACCGAAGTTGACAACTACCAAATTTCATTAGGAGCCGAGATTACGGCAGCCCCGGGCAACGGTCAGTCGGAGAAGGCAGAAATTTGTATTATCGTTGAGCGTAAGACCGACACTGCCGGTTAGTTTTTGAAACGGTTGGTGGGGAAGAGACTTTTGTAATCGTCCCGTGTGTCGAATCACAAATTCACATTTCCCCCTTCCAAGTCGTCTACGGGAAGAAACAGTACAAGTTGTAAAGTATGTAAATAGCCACTAAGTCAGAATTCATTTATTCTAATCAAAAATACGATGATTGTAGGCCTATATCACGGGTTCCTCCGGATAGATGTTTTTATCACATTATCCCGATATAATGATGTTTTCTGTTGTTCTGCCTCGTGCTTTAGACGAGGTTTTCTGTCCGCCGTCCAAGAATTTCGACCAATCGGAGTCCGGATTCGAATTCTTCCATCTCGTGCTAATAAAAATTGTAACGCGCCCGCTCGAGTCTGACCACAGGCATACCCGGGGTGGGGCAAGGCGCCTTTCGAAGGGGGCGCGCAAAATCGCCAGTTATTAAATTTAAAAATCAAAGTAAACCAATTCGTATCAAACAATCCAGCGTAGCGAGAGGTGAGCGAGGGGGTCTATCGTGCCCCGGGCGCCAGTTACGTTCGCTACGCCACTGAAGGACTTCGGTCGTTTACCTTGGCGTGGTTGGGTTTATACAATTTCTTTTTATTATTAAAATTTAATTTTAGCGCCTTTAGTATCGGGTCCGAAGCTAGATTAAAAAACGTTAAGAGTAATTTTAAATTATGTAATATTATAACACGAAATCAAACTATAACCAGATTTGTGGTGGCCGAATCCGTGCGAATTCTCGTTCTGGCCAAATTTTAAAAATAAATAAGGCATTCGACTAATTTTCTGGATTTTTAATTCTTCCTTTACTCCTAAATACAGGATCCTTTGCTATTCACCGCTTCCGTTCGGAACAACCTGGATCCCTTTAACAGGCGCGACGACGCCACTTTATGGAAAGTTTTGGAAGAGGTAAGTTTAACGTCTGCCGCGGAGGTTGTAGATTGCCGGTGTAAACGACACCTCGTTCCTTGTCTTAATAGGTGCACTTAAAAGAAGTGGTGGGAAAATTAGGGAACGGACTGGACAGCCAACTTTCGGAAGGAGGAGGCAACCTGAGCGTCGGTCAGAAACAATTACTTTGCGTGGCCAGGGCCATTTTACGCCAGAACAAAATTTTAATAATGGACGAAGCAACGGCCAATATCGACAAAAGGTTCGTTCCTATCGATTAATTTACTTCCCGAATATAATAGAGAGATCGCGGCCCGAGTTTAAGCCTTAAACTTGTAAGGTACGCGGAAGTAGGCGTTTGACGTTAGAACTCCGAGTAAAGCACGTCGCCTATTGGTTGGTGAGATATTGCTGGAAAATGGCGGAAACATTTAAGAACGACGAAAATTACCACCGAAGGTAAATAAACAGATTCAACTATTTTAAAATTTCTATAGGATGTTTAATAACACGGGTCTTCCAAGAAAAATTTTCCAGCTGCGTGGAATATTTTTGCCGAATTATATGTTTTAAAGATCGCAGATTGTAAAAATAACTTCCGCTACATCCCATCGCGTAAAGGTTTTTTGCAAAATAAAAACAAGTATTTGATAATAACTCTTATTTATTACAATGAACTAAATATATTTTCTTACAACTAATCAAAAAATTGTTTCCGATATTTATACACAATCTTAGGTCTACTCTTTTTTCTTACGACACCTTTTCTTCTTTTTGGTGCTTCTCCGAACTCGTTTCCGATTTCTTCTCTGGTTTCTCGAATCAGCATCCAACAGTAGTCAGCTAACGTATCGACATCCCATTTTCCTCGGTAACGTCTCTCGATATCACGGACATCCCGGTGAAATCTTCCACCCCGTTCTTCACTGTAGGCTCCCAAGTTTTCGGGAAAATAGTCAATACGCGAGTGTAAGAAATGAACTTTTAAGCTCATCTCGCATCTTAGAGCTTCGTACGCTGCTGCCAGCACGCGCTGTACAACGGTTTTGTAGTCGGGGTGGTTAGAATTCCCCAAAACCTTATGCACTATATTGTCGAAAGAGTCCCGCGCTTCTTTTTCCTTTTCTCCCATTATTTCCAAAAATCTGCTTTGTCTCGATCTCCGAGTTTCAATTTGAAATACGCGAATTAAACTTTCTTTGCAAACTCACTTATGTTTCTTTGTTGACTTTTCGCCGCGTATTCGTCACAAACGTAACAGAAGCTGTCGGGAGAAATTACGCAACCTCTGCGGCCATATTCGAGAAATAAAAATATAAGCGCAGTAGCCTTCGAATGCCGGATATAAACCGAGTGTGGCATTAGATGGACAGCGAGATACTGAACTTATTTAGCTTGTCGAAACACGATCTAATCCACCAGCGGGTTGTTTATATTTATTCCTAGTATCCCAGATAACATATCGAAACACGCTCAACTTGGCCATTTCATTTCATTTTTTTATTAACGCACACAATGGTACAGTACATGCCGGGTTTCGCAGTTAGCACTAGTGATGTGCCGGATCGTTAAAAATGTATATCCGCGGATACGGATACTGATACGGATCATTAGTGTCTAGATCCGCGGACACGGATACGGATACGGATCTCTACTTTCGTACTCAGTCGGCGGCGGTGCGTGTGACCTTGGACCGATAGTTGACGCTTTGCGTTAGTAACGCGACGTGTTTTGACTTGCACTGCGCGTGTTTTTGTTTATAGTGTGAAAGTGTGCTAAATTAGAATTCACCACAAAGGCAGACAGGATAAAGTAACAAAAGTTGATATAATTTTCCAATTAAGCTATTTCGCGTCTTTATACAGATTCTATTTCGGGGGATTCCAACTTCACGGTGCAAACAGTAGCATGCGAAATTACAGCGATAATAATAGTTCGCTGTATCCAAAGCACGTGTACAATACAGATCCCGATCGCGACAATATAACCCGGAACCTTAAAACTAACCTTAAACACTAACTTAACACTAATAACAGAAAAAGGGATAGAATTAAGAAGACAGAAAAAATGGTAGATAAGATAGAAATAGGGATATCTGGGGTTTTGTCCCTTTTTTCGGCTTGTTTCTTTATGCGTACTATTGGGTGGGATAACACACGTCCTTCTCCTATAACTGGCCACTTCTCTTCTACAATAATTAGGATTTTTTCCTTCCACAGTCGTCAATACGACCTTAAAACATGATCTTTTTTCTGAACTTATTTCTGAACTATCCGGTCATTGAAAATACGACTCCCAGTATTCTCACCTCGTCCGTACACTCTGCCGTCCGGTTTACGAATGACCTGCTACGTCACTTCTCTTTTTTCTCCGGCTCCTGTTTACACCTTTGCTCCTCAAATTTCTAGGAACTGCTCATCCCACCCAAGGGACAGGGAATAGATAAGAAAGTTCTAGAAGAAAATAGAACAATAGAACAAAGGGTAGAAAGAAGAAACGAAACTAAACTAAAATTAATATTTACAAAAATATAGCGTACCGCCACAATAGTTTAGTGCAGTGTTTCCCAACCTTTTTTGTGCTATGCCCCACCTAAGCCTTTCTAAAATTCTTATGTCTCCCTAACATATACAGCGGCTATACGGTTAACTTAAACTCTGGACAAGTCCATTTTCGAATTGCCCTCCTTAGCAATCCAATTGCCCCCTGTGGGGCGTGGGCCCCACGTTGGGAAACACTGGTTTGTGGCTAGTGTGACACGGGATAGCGTAGATTACGTTTGTGTTTTTGGAGAGTGTTGAGTTAAATTAAAATAAAAACAATGTCGACAAAAAAATTTAGTAGTGTAATATGGAAATATTTTACGATAGTAAATGACGAATGTGCTATTGCTACCTATCTTTAAAATTTCATATAAGTAATGAAATTCATTAAGATAAAAGATCCGTTAAAGATCCGCTAAAAAGTAACGGATACGGATACGGATACGGATCTTTTTTTTCCCTCGGATATCCGCGGATACGGATACGGATACGGATATCCGGCACATCACTAGTTAGCACTACCCGGGATCTCAACCTCACCAGTAATATTACTCGCTACCAACTTTTAACCCGTTTCTACACGATGGCGCCACCTTCCTCCTAACGCTAAAACTACTTAACCCACCTGCCCCTACCACTACTCTCTTCAACCATTAACATTTTTTAGTGAAAAGTAAAACATCTGGATACGAGATTGTCACCTGTGGACATTTTAAACTGTTTTACCTATTTGTGCAGAGGCGTAGCCTCTAAAGAAAGGTTGTCTCCGCAATGGAAATAGTTGTTCCTGGTGATTAGACATGGCAAGAAGAATTGGACTCGTATCCAGACGTTTTACTTTTTATTAAATTGTAATTCTGCCAGCCCTTTTCTACAAACAAACATTAACATTTTTATTTATTTATTACCGAGTCCGGCTATAATTGATCGAATTAATGCGAGAAGTCTTGGTTTTAAGGCCATTTTAAAAAAATACTAAATTTTAAATTAACTGGGAATTTTACGCTAAATATTGATACAAACAAAAAGTTGAGTGTAACAAAAAAATTGACCAGATGGAATTTTTTCGTTTCTACCGAGTTGAAATCTGTAAGAAAATGTATAAAAATCCTGCGCAGTTTTTTACTCGAGAGCTGCGTAACGCTACAAAATAATTACTTTTGACTTTAATTAGCTTCGTGTCTCCTACCGTACCGTACAATAGTACGACAATTGCCACTCGTTTTGCCCGTTCTCACCACATACTTTTGTCCAGGGAACTACTGTAGTAGCTTCTATAAATCCCAAAGCGGCTCGAGAAATTATTTTTAGAAATTTACAAACGAATTGCGCTGTGGACGGTAGAAGATGCCGTGAAAAAACAAACCTACTTCTACAGTATTACGATACGCTATTACGAAGACAAATATATAAAAACTGTATAAGCACTGCGCGTCACTGGCAAAAAAAATTGAATACGGTAATTAAATTTTTTCTACATTAAAATCGTCCGTTTCTTTACAATGTTTTTCATGAATGCTTAAATAATCATTATTTTAATAAAATATTTCGTAATTGTAATGTAAAACCAGAAAAAGACAGACGTTTAAGCCCAACTTCTCTTCGACACGCTCTACGAGCCAAACTTCTAAGCTTACGGTACGACAGCGTTGGCGTTTTATAGATGAAAACTTGGGCCGCAACCTCTCCAATACCGTCTTATTTTCCACCGCTAAGCGAAAACCGGTAAACCGCGCTTCCAAAAAATGTATTAGCGAAGATGGCCGGTTTATATCGGACGATAATAAGGCTACTGTCTACTAATTAAATATCCAGTCTTTTCGTCTACGTTTAGGCGTTAGACGCCGTATCTCGATTAAGTTAGGATTATAATTAAATTAATACTTAATAATTTATACCTAAGGCCTACCTTTACTTCTTACTCGATATTTAATTATTAAACGGTAGCCTTAATATTGCCCGACGTAATCCGGCAACCGTTTGGCTTTAACCTAAACTTCCAGTTAATAGGCGCTTACGTTTATAAAGAATTGTACGTTTTTATGGAAATTGCGCGTTATAAAAGGCGGATTTTCCAAGAACGTGGCCGAAAAACTGGCAAATTTGGTGGAGATGCGCGCGGTAAAGAGCGAGGCTTTCGCGCGTAATCCAAGATTTTAGCATTTATGACGCCTCGATTATTCACCCGTCTTTAAAATAAATCGAAATGTTGGTGTTTATTTCCGGGTTATACGAGGAATTGTCTTTTTGTATTGGTGATATTTTAAATAGATGTTTTCGATTAAAGACGAACCGACTAAGGATAACTAGTGGCAATTCCACTCCGTTATGGATAATTCCTTCCAATCGGTGTTTCTGTTTCTTTCCATCTTTGCCATATATAACCGTACCCATTGACCCGCGGCTAGTTTATGATAAAAATCTACGTTTAATACTTTTTCTAATCGTAATATTAGTAGAACGACGCTCGTAATTTAAACTAATTTATAAGGTAGACTATAAAACGTGCTTTAAAATGTCTCCGTTAGAGTCTAGGTTAATTCTGAGATGAAAAATTAGTAATTATTCGTTTCTCTTAGTAAGAGCGGAGTACAAACTAGTTTTACGTTGGTTGTCCTTGTATTTTTGTTAACGTCCGTTTATGAAAATTAACTCTGTATTTAAATCGATGTATATAGATGAGCCCGTTTGTTTGTTCGTTCGCCATACCTTTCTAGGCCGTTCGACCGATCGCTACGAAACTCGTAGCTACTTTCCAATACTTCTGACTTGACTCACGCCGTACGTCCCACCCCAAAATATCACTCGCATTTCTATAAATCAATTAATTTTTTTTTAACCATTTTCTGAGCTACTCGTAGCACAATCTATTGGTTAAAAGATTAACTAAATATAATTCTTACAAAAAATGACATAGACTAATTTTAAAATATATAGACAGTAATACCCCGAACTTACGCCATAGGTGGGACCGAGCGATAACCGCGTAAGTCGAGGCATAATTACGCAATTTGTGTAAAATTCAAGTCGGATGTATGTAAGCTAATAAATGTTCTCGTTAATCTTATCTCGTATTTTGATTCGTTCGCGGTTAAGAGAAACCACCACATAGAGTCTCTCGAGTCTCCGTAGATATAAGAAACACAGAAATAGCCACAATTTATTTTGTGTTATTTATGTGTCGATTCCGCGCGACATACGTCCGAACAAGTAAGCCGAACAATGGTGTGGGGGGAGTGAGTAATAGAGAGTCGCGTGGCGCTCAAACAAAAGACGAATCGACGAGATTTGAAAATCGCGTAACTCCGGAATAGCGTAAGTCCAGGTATTACTGTATTATATTCGCCCCGTGACTGCGACAACGATATAGCGCGAAATACACGCTTCGTTACGCCATTGCCGCCACGGGTAGCGCCTACCATTTGTCTGCGTGGAGCGTAGTAGTGTTTTGCCCCCGTACGTTATACTTTTCCCGTTAGTAATAGACTCGTGCCGGTTGTGTATCTAACTCCGTTGGGAAAAAGATTTTTGTATTGAAATAACCTGACTGGCGGTACAAATTGGTAGTTCGTTTATAGGTAATCCGGTCCGTTCCTCTTACGGTTTCTACGTCTGGTCTCGACTTTTATCTAACACCTTTATCGAGATTAAGGAAGGACAGATAGATAGGGAACAACGGCGGGAATTTATAGGTCTACAATTTATTCAATTGTTAAGTTACGGCGAGGCAACACTTGGGTGATCCGCCTAGGGGATGCCTTCCGGGGGTCTTTTTAAGGGTAACTGGCCCCTCTTCGGACGTTACAGACGTGGAGAAAACTCTGAAAACTCTCTGTGACCAGCCCGTTCTGACCAGGCGCGAACCCACGACCAAACTCCCGGTGTTCGGGAAACGGAACCGCTTGGCCACCGGTAGGCCCAATTTTTTCAAACTGAGCCCAATAATTTTTTTCGTAAACGCAATACTTACGAGAACGTACTTCCCGCGTAGTTTATACAATCTGTTGCCAAAATTTTAAAATTTTATTATCACATAAAAGCAATTATTTTAGCATTTTACAAGCTTTATTTTATTTAAATAAGTCGTACGAAGTCTTTCGGACGTAAAGGTTAGCAACTGGATCACTGCCAATCACAGGCGGAGCTATCGAAATCTGTTTAACACGGACAACTTTTCAAATATTAATAATAGGCCGGCGTTAATTAGTAGTGATTGACCGTCGTCTCTTCCGGGAGGAGGTCAACGACTACTTTTGATCAAATTAACTTCGACCCCTTTCTGGCAACGGTCCCGAATTTCTATCGGACCAACGGTACGGTTGCGTGGGAATTGGGAAATTACATGAAATAAAGTACCGGCCAGCACAAAATGTAATTTAAGTGGTTTTCGAGGGTGCCGACTTTAAATATTTTCCGAAATTTAATTTCGGCTGTAAATAGGACAGTTTCTTAGAGCTAGCTTAATTTTTTTTAAATATCGTATTTTCCATTGGTTTCTACTTGATCGATGAAATTGCGCAGTTTCGTACCATCCGTGATAACCAAATTATATGGTTTTCGTTTTAATCTTCGCTGTATTATAGTATTTGATAACAAGAAAGGTAAGGTTTTATCACACCGAATGACCAATCTAAGATAAAAACGTTCGAAATAAAGAAAAAACTCGGCAAATTGAAATCGGATGTGTTTCTTAGTGTAAACGATTTAACACGTTTTAAAAATTCTTTATTTCTCTGTCGTACACAATTTCCAGAATTTTTAAAATGACTTACATATATATTCTCTTCTATTGTCTTATATACTGGGCACTCGGTTGATAAACTCATACGTAATAGAACCCTTGTAAATATAAATCAAATACAATAATATAATATAAAGGTTGGAAGTGCGAAATAATCTTAACGTTTGTTATTACTCAAAGAATTATTAAATACGTGACACTAAGAAACGTTTATTAAACGAACATTAACGTTTTCCACCCAATACGATAGCCCATCTTCGGATGCACTGAAATTCGAACGTATTTCTAACTTAACATTTAAACGACATTTACATAACAAATAAATAATAATAATATCATAAAGTACTCAGCAAATCGCTATACATATAACTAACACCTTATTCTTGCCGAGAAATATAAATACATTCCAAACAAACGTTTTCAACCTGATTCACAAGCCATCCTCAGGTTTAGAACAAATTTGAATTAAAAGATTTCATCAATGGAATGCAAAATTCAAAATTAAAAAAGATAAAACTTAAAATAAAATTAAAATATTATATAACCAACAGAGTAACATAAAACAAAAAATATAAAAATGTAAAAATGTACATAGAAGTATTAATAAATGCAATTACTAACACATGCAATAAAACTACTATTTTGATTGGTTAGAGCTCTTATTAAACTTCTTAACTATAAACTTCCATGCAGAGGGAAGACTTTCTGCATCTCTCGCATTTAAACAGCCTTCTTGTATTCTACTCTTATAAATCTGCAACTTTTCCGCTGTCAACGCCAAAGATGGAGAAGATAAAGGTTTTATGATGGCTGCCTCATTCCATTTAACTACAGATCCTGGTGCTTGCGCTATTTGGGATAAAATTGTTGCATTAGACCCCTTTCTGATATTATAACTATGCTAAGATTCTTGATTCTAAGCCCTAAACTCCTGGTGGGTACTCCAATATAGTCTTTTTTAACGCCAAATTGCATGTTCTCATATGGAATTCCATAAACCCCTGCTTTCTCTTTCGACTTTATATCATCTTTATCATTCCTGAGGATTTTGTATAAATTAGGAGCCCTTTTTATAAGCATCCTCGAACCTTTTCTGTGATCAATCTCTTTCATGACTCTATTCATACTTTCATTATATGTAAATTTTACGATTCCAGTGGGAGCATTTCTAAAAGACCCTTTCTTGTTGATCGCTTCATACTTCCTAACCATTCCCAGAATTGCGCTTTTTTGGTAACCTAGAGTCTTGGCCACGCTTATTACTGTATTCTATTTACTTCTTTCCTCCTGTCTTGTACTGTTTCACAATACAAAAATGCCCTTCTTATTAAAGCTCTGAAAGCTGCAATTTTATATTTATACGGACCTTGGATTGGGAGGGAATATACAATGGGCTGTGGGATGGTTTAATAAAAACGCTAGTGGACAGGTGGCCTTTTTTGAATTTAATACCGATGTCCAGAAGAGTTGCTTGGATCTCCAGTGGGAGAAGACTGGCCGTTACTTTTGCGTAAATATATTACGGTTATTCGTTTTACTTATTCGGCTTAAAATAGTTTCGAGTAAATTCTTATTTATAATTGTAAATAATCTACTTCAAACGTTAATTATTTTTATTAAAAATATATCTCGTATCTGTATATTTATTAAGCGTTCTTTGAAAAATTTGTGTAACTTATCGAGTAATTTCGTTACGATTAACGATCGAATAACGTTTCGTATTATATTCCACCGCGTATTAAGAAGCGATAATCTTAACGGAATCTATTGGGTTTAACGTAACTTTGTCGACGAATAACCACGTTTTAATTAAAACGAAATATATATCTAAGACGTAAGTAAGGAAATACGATTGTAACGTTGATTCTTTTATTTGCGTAGAACCGATTGCCTTATACAGAAGACGATTGGTGAGAAATTTTCTTCCTGCACAATTATTACCGTCGCTCACAGATTACAGACAATTATGGATTCGGACAGAATAATGGTAACGTTTCAAATGTCTAATACCCCGTTCGCACCAGCATTTCCATCTAGATTGTGACTAAGGTCGGAGACAGTTCCGTGGTGCGAACGCTCTCGACCGTTTCAATCTCGACTGAAACGAGGCTAAATGGCGATCGACTGGAGAGAGTTCTCGAAACTAGATCCAGTCATAAGAGAGATCCCACAATCCCACGCGCGCGAGAAAATACAAGATGGCTGCCGAACACGTGTCCGGCTATCGACAGAAAAATAAAAATGACATCTGGAGAGACGACGACATCTGTCTATTATTAGATATACGGCAAGAAAAAGTATTTATTTCTAACCGAAACTTCCATTTTGTTTGTTGGTGTTGGTGACTTACCGCGTAGTTATGTCAATTTTATCATCGCGTGTAATAGCCGGCTTCTTCTCGAGCGAGTTACCTGCGCGAACAGCACGACGTTCCACTGGCGACAGTCACAATCCAGATTGTGGGTAAATCGAGATAGAATTGAGTCGTGGATTGTGTGCGAACGGGGTATAACGGTCGTTCGATGACGGCCAAGGAATAAACAGAAATTTTTAAAACTTTTCAGGTTTTAGACGAAGGAAAAATTGTAGAATTCGATAATCCCGACCAACTACTGAAAAACAAAAATGGACTGTTTTACAGAATGGTGCAAACGGGAGGTAATTCGGCGGAGAAAAATGAAAAAACGATAAACGCCTAGACGGAATGCCGAGTAACAATTGGGTAGATTGCTCTGGCCGGGCGAATACCAGAATAATTTGGGCACTTGTTTATAAATACCGTTCTGATCTTATAATGTTTATTCTCGCCGTAAGTAGCCCGCCATCGAAATATAAATGTGGAAGGACGGTTTTCCGTTTCGCAAACCTGTTCCTTCCGTAAGATCGTTGTCATTCCTTCTTTTTATACTAATTAATGTCTTTACTCGCCACACTTTCCGGATTGCGGGTCGTGTGTCTAGCGGGTTAGTCTTAAGTGGACGAATATCCGCTTAACAATATATTCCGTGTAGGACGAGGTGTGACTTTAAAGATCAAAATAAAGAAAATTACATTTATTAATACATTTTTAATTTTATTTCGTTTAATCGCGAATAAAATATCAAACGTAGGTAAATGCACGCATTGTCCCGAAAAAAATACTGGCATTTTAAAGTGGAAGGAAAAATCTGGTAAAATCGATAACATAATTTGTTAACGTAAAGCCGGACAATGGGCAACAGTCGATTACGCTTACCGGTCTCTTCGAATTCTACTTTCCCAATAATCGTCCGTTTTCGCGTGGGAATGGATTAAAACTTATATCCAGCTTCAATGTGGTTTTGGAATTGGATTCAAAAGCTTGGCTTTTCCCATTTCTATTCGCCTTTACTCCCGACGATACGCGAGAACGACTCGAACGATGCAGATGAAATACTTTTGTTTTTAAACACCAGAAGGTGAGAATGCGGTAAAAAATGCGAATACGCGCTTTACAGAAGTGATGGCAAAAACGCAAGAACGTATAGGACGACCTAGGAAAAATGAATAAAAGCCTGGTCTTATCCGCCAGTAAATGCGGTATCTTCCCGTCGTTTTACATTTTTTCAAAAAGTTTTTGAAAAGTCGTGTTGTAAGAACATTAATGAGAAATTGCCGGATAAGGGCCTAAATTATTGTCCTAAGACAATAATGTGTCCGCTACCGAATAAAAAAATCCCGCCCGTTCCGCCGGTAGAACACGCGGACCGGCAAAAGAGAAAGCGCTATACAATGGTTAACGACGTTTTATTATTAGCGGCGACGAACAATTCGATGTAGTTTTGTTTAATTTATCGTACATCCACGGAAGAAAACGAAAAACAGTAGTGGTTTTATCCCGGGCCTCCTCCCAAGGAGTGCCAGTTGCAGCCAAATTAATTCCCCTTATTTAATTGATATCCGTGGCGCGGAGACACGGCCGCGGCGGTGGCCACTTCCGTACAGGTGGGGACAATTTCCATCCGGTCCGCCGCGTCTCGCCGTTCCGCGCCCAACAAACTCTTCCCGCCGGCAATTATCCCGCCACCTTCGTCGGCTTCGCGCCTTCGACCGATAAATTCTCTGTTTATTCACTACGCGCGCTTTGACGTCCCGCTAGCCCAGTGGTTGGCGCGCCACCACAGTCCGAAGTTACAGCACCCGCCCAATAACCCACTAATTCTACGCCGTAAATTATTAAGGTAATTTGGCGGCGCCCTAAATTTTGTAGGCTAATTCGAAAGTAGCGATTACTTAATTTATAGAAATGTATGGGCAGGATGTCGAAATTTAACTGGTGTAAGTCCGGCTAGCCACACCATCAAATAAAATTCAAATTTATTTTCTAAAAAGCGTACAATTATAAAAGAGAAAAGAAGATTTAAATTTTAACCCAAGGACGCTGTGGAACGCGGACAAACGGTACGAAGAACAAAGCACGAAAATACGGGATTACCGGAAGCTGTTCTTTCCTCTTTTTCTTCCGGCCCGGTTTTTTAGCCTTTAACACAAAAGTAGTCCAAACAACCACGCGCGAAATCTTGGTTATCGCAAATAATTGTGGTGGAAAAAAGTAACATTCGAGAAAACCTACCGGGGCGGTCCGAAATCGTATCCACCACCGGGCGAAAAAGGAACTGGCGGCCCAGCGCCGGTGGCCCTTCTCCAGGCCCTACGGACGGCGCGCGCCTTTGGGGCCATAAAAACAAGAAACGACGTTTTATCCCGCGATCGACCGACGATATCGTCCGCCGTCGTCACTAAGGTTGTTTGTTAATTAAGCCGTGGCAACGCGACACTCGGGCCATCTGCCTAGGGTCTTCCGAGAGGCTCTTTTTTTAAAGGAAACTGGCGCCTATTTAGGCGTGGCGGACGTGGAGAAACCCCGGAAAATTCCACGTTTGGTCACTAGTACTAAGGTATGATAAATGCAGTTACCGCTCGGCCTGTGGTGGGCCGGCTCGTGCAAGTAAATTCGAGACTAAAAGTACGCCGAAAATTTTAAACAGGGGAAGCGAGGTGAGAAATTCGTATACAATCGTCCGCGAAGTGTTTTAATCGTACGAGATGGGCCAAAAGTCGGTTAACTGCGTTTCGTTTACTTATGTTGGATATATTTGAATATGGTAAACCGAGATTTCTCTTGTAAAAACTTCCTTCGGACAGAAGGTGGCTTATAAATTATTTGACCAGCTTTATCCTTTCAAACTGTTTATCGAAACATACCAATTTTTCAACTACTGAGCGCAAAGTATTTGAATAAAACTGCAATTCAATCTTCACCACCTCCACTGCTATTATTGAATAAATCGTTAATAAATTTTGTTTCCTTATTTTAATATGAATTTTCAGAATAAAATATCGGCTGCAAAACTCCATATACGTTTTCGTCCACTCGTTCCTAAGCATCGGGATCGGACTAAACAGAAAATTAGGCCGTTCCTCAAGCTACGACCTAAGAAAAAAGAAAACTTTATGTTAATTTTAAAACATTTATATTCGTTGTTTTATTAGACGTAAAACGAAAATATAGATAAACGACTTTCGCCTCACTCCGACGGGAGGTTAAGGGGATGGGAACGGAAATCCCATAATATTCAGTTATACTACGACGTAAAATGTACGAAGTAATTAATAAAAAGTTAATGGATTAATTTCGTTTAATTACAGGAAATGTCTGCGTTTAAAAACAAAATATTCAAATTTTAATGCGAAAAGTAAGACACGTTAGCTCGAAATAAAATTCTATGTGATATTTTATTAAAAGATAAGTTCTATATTATTAACGAATTATTATAAAAAGGCAACGGGATTAATTATGGAGATGGAAACGAGTTTTTGAAAATATTGTAAATAACGAGTGAAAGTTCCGTTAAGTCCGATCCCATTCGACGTACCAACAACCATCCCTCTAATATCCCATCCTCTCTGCCTTTAATCGCGTGTAGGAGTAATATTAGCGCGTAGGAAACCGTTCCTTTGCTACCGTGTCACCATTAGTTATCGTTCGTGCTATAAATATAATAGTTTTATTCGATTTCGATACCATCTTCTCGAATGTTTTGTCGGCGGGTGAAGGCTCAATTTTGACGGTAGGAAAGTTTACAGACAGATGCAGCGCCGTAACTAGCCATTCCTGTGCCCCGTGCGGGAATTTGCATTTAGGCACCTTAATTAATTAGGTTTGGGAAAGTAATAAAACAGATACATGCATTTTGGGCCCCTCTTCCCAGTGGGCCCCGTGCGGGTGCGCCTGTTGCCCCTGTCTAGTTACGGCACTGGAAAGATGCCAGATCTCCATTAGAATCCCTACCTCGAGAGAGTTATAATTTTCTTCCCCTCCGAAGATAAACCGTCTCCCCGACTGGGGGGGGGGTGACTTATTGAATCAAAGTTCGATTGGCTAAAACTTTAAAAACTTTTTGTTTTCTAGAAAATAGTACACTTCGTTTTATACATTTTACATTTGTCGTTAAAAAGTAAACGTCAAATATTGGAGAATTGTCTTTACAAAACCAATATGTTTTTGTCCGCTAGTAAGGCGGTATTTTAGTATTTCGCGATATAACGATGACGCGTCCAACTATATAAACTCATTGTTGAATTAGTTGTTTGATTTAATTGTTTAAATATTGACAATACTTTATCGAGATAAAACGTTGGTTTCAATCTGGCAAACTTTCGGCGAAAGAAGCGTATAATAGCGTTGTTATCTACCCATCGACCTTCGGACGGCGCAGCGCCGAGTAATCGGACAGATTAGTTGCATACGTGTACGACTGCGGAAAGGAACATGTCTTTGCCAGTGGCCAGGATCGTTTCTCTGATTGTGTTGCTTGTAGGCACCTTTCTGTGCGGCATTATCCCTTCTTTGGTAGTCAAAAACATCAAATCTCGATCTCGGAACATCGCGCAACTCTCTCGTAGAAGTTCTTGGGTGGTCAGGAAGAGCCATTACGTTACTTCTTTTCTGATGTGTGTCGGAGGTGGAATACTGTTTTCTGTTTGCTTTCTTCACTTGCTTCCCGAAGTGGACCAATCGTTCGAGGAATGGTGGCACAATAGCGAGAACGTTTCCAACGACTCGCCGGTAGAAGAGCAACACCCTGGTCTGGACCAGCGGAAAGAAAAATTACACGTACACAAACACGAGTTTCCTCTGCCTCAGTTCGTAATCTGTAGTGGTTTCTTGTTTGTGTATATTTTCGAAGAGACAGTCAAACTGATCGTATCTACGATTAACGCACGCAAAATTAAAGAATCGACTCCTATCTCTACGGCTAGGCCCGATACAACTCCCAGGGACGATAAAGATCTGCTTAGTTCCCAGCAACGCGTTCGATACTACGGAACTGTTGAAAATAACGATAGTCGTTCGAACGACTGCCCGTACGAACACTCGTCCAACAACTCTTCCGTCAAAACCTCGTACGACAATCATATAATCGAACTGAAAAGAGGTTTATCCTTGGCGGGTTTGCTCATCGTCACCGCTTTGTCTTTCCACTCTCTTTTCGAAGGTTTCACCGTAGGCCTTCAGGTTACCGAACGAGAAACGTGGACCGTTCTTTTCGCCATATGTATGCACAAGTTCGTCATCGCATTAGTGATTGGGATCGAGGCGGTGGAAGAGGGAACTAAACTTAAAGTGTTGTTACCCTACATGATCATTTTCTCCGCCATGTCTCCTCTGGGTATCGTCACGGCATCCCTAGCAGAAAAATCTATGCTGATACACGGTGCTCTGGTATCGGGTGTTCTCAATGGTTTGGCAACCGGAACTCTATTATACGTGACATTTTTCGAAATTATGCATAAAGAGAAAAACTCGAAACTTCCCGGCATGTTCCAGTTGTTAGGTTTGGTTACGGGTTTCGTGCTGATGATAGGCATCGACAGAGTGTCCGCAATCATCGGCGGATGATCTCCGCGGCTGGAGACGTCACTCGAAAGATCTGAAAAATTTATATTTATATAAAAGTATTTATAGTTAAATAGCGTTTATCGCTTTAAAATGTTGAAATATTTTGCGAATTCTTAAAATAAATAATACTTTTCTTATTCTTGATTAGAGTCGTATCATTGTGGCAATAAATTTCTTTCCATTTGTAACTCGAGCCGATTACTTTCTTATTAACTAAACCTCATAAAACACGCGACAAACGGATAAATATCTTTCGCAAGGTCTTACAATTGAAAATAGTATTGCGCGGATAACACTTTCGTCAAGGGCGGAGCCTTATCTGCTTATCTGTTAAGATTTTTACGCGAACTTTGCAATGTAAAAAAGTTGGAAAACAAACCGATGGTGATTATTATCGCCTTGTGTTTATTTATATTTCACCACTAGATTAAGGTGTCTAATTGAGGTATGAGGTAAGCGTCGTACCCTTTAACAGCGTTCTGACTTCTTTATCGCTGGCAGTATACAGTAAATCCTTTAAATACTCGCGCTTTCTCGCAACTTAACTAAAATTGGTTATCTGGCAGTTTCGTATTTATGAAATGATTGCGCCTTTCTTCGACGTTATCGTAAGCGTACGGATACTGTACTGTAGAACGTTTTAGCTTCGGGAAGTTTTTGTTATTGTTGGTGATTACGTAGCTTGCATTTATCTGTTTATATTTGTAAACAGCGTCTAAAATAAAATGCAAACCTTTATCTACGGAATGAAATAATAATCCTTGACAGAAACGAGGTTAAGAGCCATTACGGACTTCGGACTTTAACGATGATAACGTAACTTACGATTAATTGCCGTAACAAAAATATTATAAACAATACCAATAATTTGGGATTGTTTCTTTTCCTTATCTCTTAATTATTAATTAAATTTTCACCAATTTCTTGAAATTATCATCTTTCGTTGAAACCTCATATTGATGGCGCTATTTCTAAAAGCATGGAAAGAAATAAACCTATTTACCGCGTCTTCTGTATACCTGTTAAAAGCAAAATGTTCGGGCACCGCCTCATACAAATAACGTAAAATTAAAAATTCCAAACTTGTAAACGCTTTTTACCAACGTTCTTTCAATTTTTGGTTAATTTGATTTCGAGTTTAGTTTTAGTTTCGGTTTCGATTTTCGGTGTAAAGGCGACGGTCAAATCTCGGTTTTTCCAATACGAACAGCATTTCGTGTTAGAACACATTATTCTTTGTCTAAAACAGAAACATTTTTCCAACCGTGCGATTTTCTAAGTTAAATTTTACTGTAAAGCCAAGCTTATTCAACGCGGAAGCGGAAGAGGCTACAATTCCAGAACGATGTGGAATAATGTCCGACAAACGAACGTTCTTCACTTCTAAGAAGGACTTTATACAGAGCCGATTACGAATCTGACCGGACCGCAACGGGGCAGTCGATGTTGAGGGACCGAACCACTCCCAAAAAATTCCTGGAGGTTGTTTCTGTTGAGATAGAAATTCGTACGATGTCAGCGCATAATTACTGGCAGAAGGCGCGCCGAGTCGAATGTGTGATGTCGGCTCTCGACATCCACTACAGCCGCAACGAACACACACTTTGTCCGGACTCCCGCCCGCGTTGGTATCGACATCGACGAGAAAGCGGACACCCCGGCGTATAGCGATCCTCCGAACTCGGTCAACATTAATTTCGTAACCCCGAAGATCTCCTTACTATCGTTAATTCCCATCACTTTCGGAACGCGGAAGGCATCCGGATCCCCTATCCAAAACGACCCTTGGCTAAACTAGAATACCCACCATTTCCGATGGCTATATCGACCGCGCCGGGACTAACTCCTTACCAGTCACTTCCTTTACACCCGGAAAATCAAAAGTGATGCTAAATGCGGTTACTTCCCGGTCAGATGGACACAACCGCACACCGGCTCGATAATTGTACCAAATTTAACATTGTCCGGAACAAAATTTCTGGCGCTCGTCCGATGAACAAAGAAAACATCGCTAATATTATCGATTGCCTTAAACTTACTCCTCTTACTACCTGTCGGGAGGCTCTTCGTCTAAACGCATCTCCGGGACGCGAAACACTGCCCCGAGAAGAAGTCGATCTGGCTGTTCTGTAGGACGGAAGTTCCTGTTAATCCGAGAATTAGGACAATTTAGCAAAAATAATATAAATACAGGTGAACCTGTCATAAGTGGAATGCAACAAATCTGACCAGAAATTTCCGTTTTATATAGGACTAGCTGTTATCCGCGACTTGGCCCGCGAAAATTTTGCAAGCAAACCCCATTTATATTCAGTATTTCAACAACCATAGTAATTGTTATATAACACCTACCGTCGAGAATGACGAGAATTGCCGAGAATCAAACAAACAATTTTCAATTTGATCAATTTTCTGGAACGTTTACAATCGTTCTATAATCGAATCGATACGCAATAAAAAATTCGAATCTAAAAAGGTTCTAACGTTTGGTTAAAAAATCGAAATAGATAAAAATATTTATAACAATGTCTGAAATGTTATTAATTTAATACACTTAAGTAGTTAATGAAGACTAAATGTAACAAAAAATCGCATCTAAAATAGTACGGTAGAAGCCGTTCTTCCGATTAAGACTTAATCCTCCCCCTCTCCCCCAGCGGGGGAATTTCGAAAAATCCCTTCTTAGTGCGCGTTTCCATGACGCATCCTAACTGTCTACCAAATTTCACCTCTCTAGGTTCAGCGGTTTGCTCTGAGCGATGATGAATCAGTGACTCAGTCAGTCAGTCGGGACAAGTAATTTTATATATATAGATTATGTTTCTGTTAACATAGAGAAAGAGGAGAACCGTTACCATTGGCATTTATTGATACAAGTGTTTCTTCTCCATCGTAAGAGTTTCTATATCGACCACGTGTCCGACTACCAAAACCGTATGGTGTAGAGAAGAGAAACTGGCAAAATCACTCGATACCTTCGCAATGTGATTTATAATTTCGTTCCGTTACGCCGAAAAATTCCGCTTTACTGGGTGGCGTTTACCACCGGTATCCGAACGTTTCCGACGTTTTCGGCCAATAGTAACGTTTTACGTAAAATATCGTTTCGTTTTTTTAAGGTAGATTTCGTTGGTAGACAGGTTTTACTGCGCTGTATCGTTACCGTCAGAGGTTGGTATTAGCGCCAGGAAGAAAAAACTGAATATTATTTTAGCTTATCGTTATTTTTCCGTTGTAAATACAAAAGTCGAAATTAGACTCGACGGATAAGATACGATAATTTATAATCCACTTATTAACGTGGCTCGTCTTCTTATCGCCTACGATTAATGAACAATAACAATTACGGTCATTTTTCCTCTTACGTTTTCCTCGCTAAGAAACGATAAAAACCGGAATTTTTACAAGATAATTTTTATCGTCACGTGCTACGTATTATCTACGTCAACGGAATTTGACTGTATTCTTTGCAGATTAATTGTTACGGTACGTACTGTACAGGGTCGACGCTTCCGTTCTGGCAAACTGGGCATTTTTCCCGGGTGGCCAAACTTTCATAAATTTATACAAAATTTTTCTAGAGTGTCATTTTTTAAATATTTTTACATTTTTATTCATATTACACGGCGCGAGTTGTATTTCCATTAACGGAGCCGGGTATGGCATTTCCAGACGACATTTTTTCACTTTACCTAGGGAATACGGGACGACAAATACGTCTTTTCCCTGGCGGTATGAACTCTAGTCCCTGCCGTTCGACCGATGGCTACCAAACTCGGCAGTTACCTTTAAATTCTTCTAACTTAGATAATGTCGTGCATCCCACCGCAAATTATCCGTTGAATTACTATCTAACGTTTAATTTTCGTCGGCATTTCATTGCCGGTTTTACGCGTAGCGCCATTTATCGGAAAAATTTAACAAAATAATTAACTACCGCTACAGATCGCGCCTAGCGCTCGCCCGTGTGGAATATAGTAGTATTTTGCCCCCGTACATTGTAGTTTTTTGTTAGCGATAGAGTCGTGCCGGTTATGTATCTAACTTCGTTGGGGGGAAATTGTCGTATCGAAATAACGTGACTGGCAGTACAGTACAAATTTATATATAGTTAATTATTGTGGTTCTCTTTCTCTTACGATTGCCAGGTCCGGTCTCGACTTTCGTGTATCTAACTTCGTTCTTAAGATTAAAGAAGAACAAAGACGGACAAATGACAGTGGGAATTTACGGGTCTACAATTTTTTCAAATTGCAGTCCAATGTCGCTGTTGATCCCAACAAGAAAGGATACGTACGATAGCTAAAGTAACATATATTTTTATCTTTTTAGAGTATAAAAATATCGGTTTAATAAAGATTTTTAAAAATGTATACGCCTATTCTATTACTTTTAAATCATTTTATGTAAATTTTACTAATTTTATTGAAGTTAACACAAATTAAAGTCGAATTAGCACTTGCCGCTAGTGGTAATCAATGGCATCCGGTGGATATTCGGGTGATCTCAACGATTTGTCAAAGTCCTCGAACGGAGAGCGGTATCGCCTGTATTGTTACACCACGCTTTCAAACACTAGCTACAGATAACAGTACGGTCGTGCCACTTTCTTCCTTCGCCTAGGTAAAGTCGGTATGACTCCACTCTTTTCCACTAGTAATATTTCGATCGCGCGTGGCCCAATTTTTGTAATATATAAGCGGGGAAACCAGCGCTTATCTTTTATCTAGCGCGGTGTTCTGCCTTTTTTCACAGTAATTTAAATAAAACGAATAACGAATAAAAGATTACTACGATATGTACAATATTTCTATCTAAAACTACAAATAATGTAAATTCGTATTTTATTTTCTTTCCAGTCGAGTGTAATGCCCAGACGTTTCGCACCCGGTTGTAAGTCGAGCTACACCGTTTAAAATGGCGATGGAAACTTTTTTAAAGCCAAAGATGGGTCAAGTAAATCTACGGAATAACATACGGCGATTTGATCGAAAGTTAACATCAGTCAAGTATACGCGACTTTATTTTGATGACGAGTTTTCGAAAACGATTAAGCGCACAATAGACGGTAATGTCGAGATCGTTGGTAGGAAGTAGGATTTAACACCCGATACTATTCCCACTAA